AAAAAAACCCGGGGGGGGGGGGTGGGGGGGGAATAAGGGGATTGTGGGCCCCGGTGGGGACCCACCTTTTTTGAAGGGGGGGGGGTTTTTCCCCCCCCCCCCCAATTGAGAATTCCCCTCTATTTCAGGGCCGTTTTTTTTTCCTTTTTTTGCCGGGGGGTTTGTGGGGGGGCCCCCCCCCCCCCCCCCCCGGGCCCGGCCCCCCCCCTGCCCAGGGGTCCTGGGGAAAACCCCCCCCCCCCCCCCCCCCAAAACACCACCCAACCACCCACTACTTTGCTTGTCCAGCGGGCCAGGTCCCCCCGCCCCGCCTCGCAGGAGTCTGACTTCAACCGTCTCATCGTCGCTTCCATCGCCATCGGGTGGACCGTGTACGTCGTGAGCTGGGTATTTGTGGCGAGCCAGGTCTTCGAGGTTCGCGTGTTCCTCGCGCACCTGGCCAAGCAAACGGGAGGCCCGGCAGTGACGGGGCACCCGGTGGCCGTGGCGATGGTCCAGGCTGCCTAAGAGCCGGTCCAACGCGACACGATCTCACTCCCGCGCACGTCAAAGGTGCGGCTCTGCTCTCCAAGTCCAACGCGGGCAACTGGTCGCCGCCGTGCACACACCATGGCTACAGTACGTGTGTCTCCGCCTGACTTGCCGCCCCCATGTCTCTCCATGCAGGCGAAGGCCCCCAATGTGATTTCCGACCGTCCCCTCTTCTGAGTTCTGTTCACGACTGTCGTGTGCGTGATCTCTTGGTTCCGGGGTGTGCCTTTGCGATTTGGTGTTTCTCGTTTGTTCGACGGTGAGGCAGGGTTGGGGGTAGAGGGTAGCAGGGTACGGGGTGTGGACCCCCTGAGTTGCACACAGGGGTTGTGCGCTGGGCCCTCCTGCTCGGCTCCAGCCAGCAGACAAGTCTTGTCAGCAACAGAGTAGATGGATCTGACCTCGGGGCCGATGTGACCCAGGTCCCAGCGCTGGCTGGTAGCGTGGTTTTACCTCACACCCGGCCGACTACACGGTGAGCCATACGGACCTTGCAGTAAGTATAATACTTTAAAGTAAACCTTTTCCTTCTAAGCAGGGCTACACAATGACCCCATAGTGTGTGGGTGTTTCTGGCGAGTTGTGATGAGTAGAATTAGATTAGCCAATGGTATTTTGAAGTTCATATATGAAAATACCAACTTGTGCGATCACCCCCCATGGGTGCCCTTTCTAGTCATTCTAGTGAATGAATTGACTCGTCCCAGTGGATGTGTCCGATTTCCGACGTCCCTGTCAAAATGTGCGTGACGTCCGATCCTTTGTAATCGTCTAGAGACGCTGGATACATGAGCACGGAGCCGGCCGCTCCCGGCCCCACGCTGCGCCCACGGCCCCGCCGAGCTTCAGGGGCACATGCAGGCCCACATCGCGGGGCTCGACTCGCACGCGCCCGCCGATCTCGCTGCCGCCGCCGACGCCACGTGGAACGGGGACCTCGACCTCTACGGCATCGTCCTCACGTGCTTTGGCGCCGCCGTCTACCACTGCACGAAGAAGGTTGGCCTGATCGTCGACTCGTCGCACGAGTGCGAGGCTATCGCCACCGCCAAGGCCGGGGAGCACGTCTCTTACGCGCGCGTCGTCCTCCTTGCCCTCGGAGCGCCACCCGCCGGGCCCACGGTCATCCTCTCGGACAACAAGGCCAACGTCCTCGTCGCCAACAATGCCATGTCCGCGTCGCGCTCGCGCCACTTCCTCCGCCGGTACCACACGCTCCAGCGCCGCATGGCCGAGGGCGAGTGCCGCGTCGTCAAGATCGCAGACGACCTCATGCCCGCCGACTTCCTCACCAAGTGGGTCGCGCGCGACAAGCTGAAGCGCAGCGTCGACTTCGCCACCAATGCGCGCGCGCGCAATGGGGGGGATTGACTCTCACAATGCCGGCTCTGCGGCGCCCGCCGCCATTGGGGAGGATGCGATCACCCCCCATGGGTGCCCTTTCTAGTCATTCTAGTGAATGAATTGACTCGTCCCAGTGGATGTGTCCGATTTCCGACGTCCCTGTCAAAATGTGCGTGACGTCCGATCCTTTGTAATCGTCTAGAGACGCTGGATACATGAGCACGGAGCCGGCCGCTCCCGGCCCCACGCTGCGCCCACGGCCCGCGCGGCCGGCGCAGCCGCCCGGGAGCTCAGGCGCTACCGCTCCTCTTGCGCAACTTGCCTATGTGCACGTCTCCGCGGACCGCGGCGGCGGCCCGGAGGCGGCCCGGCGGAGCGGTCAGAGCAGCACTGCGCCGGCCGGCGATCGACTCTCGACTATACCACGGGCTCTATTGAATGGCCTCAATGTGCTCTCTAGCGCTCCAGGCGGGCTGCTGCTCAGAATCTGGGCCGTCGGCGCTCGCTCTCGCGCTCTTCATAACGGCGTTGCCCCCTCCCTCCCGCGCCGACGGGCAGCCCGACCACGACAACGTCAGCGCCGCTGGCCTGCAACTCGAGGCGCCTTTGAATGAGCACGAGCCACCCCCAACCACGTCTCTGGAGACCGCTCCAGAGAAGGCGCGCCGCGCAGCACACCGCTGGGCGAAAGCCTCCATCACTGCGAGAGCGCGTGGCTTTATGGACCCAGACCCGCAGGGATCGCCGACGCGACAAGCGCCTCCCCTCCTCCCCAGCCGCAGCCCCACGGGTCGCTGGTGCAAGCTCATGTGAATTGCACAAGATGGCGTGTGCTGTGGGATTTGCCGTGTGTGCGGCCGCCGAAGTTAGACATGCTGCTGCACCGCCTCCGCCGAGACCGCGGACTCCTCCGAGTCCACCGAGACCGTCGCCTCGCCTCCAGAGCCGTCGCCCGCGGTGGTTGCCGTCACAGAGCTGCGACGGCTGATCTTGAGGACGAGCCGGCTGCCACGCTCGGCGATGCTGGCCGAGAGGCGTCTCATGCTGGCGGCGCTGCCCGACCGAGCGGGAGTCGCGCCGAGGTCCATTGCCAGAAGCGCGAGCGACACCTGCGGAGCGGTGGGAGCGCCCTGGCTGGTGAGTGTACCGCCGATGCGCAAGGCGAGATGTGGAGAGCGACAAAGCGCGCGCCGGGTGGTGGCGCCCCGGTAAGCACGAGCGTGCCAGGCTCTGGTAGAGTCCGTCGGCGATGAGCTCCTGCAAGGGAGGGCCCGGGCACGCGGGTGGGGGGGGGCGATTAAGCGCCTGAGATTGAGTGCATCATGACCCAACCCCGGCCCGCTCCTGCGGCGTGACTTCGAAAAACCTCGAGAACTGGCAGCCGCCGAGGCCCGGGTCGTTCTCATGCGCCATGACGATCTTCAGCTTGTCCTGGCGCGCCTGCTTGACCTGCTCGGCCAGCCGCGCGTCGCTGACGAAGCTGTTCTCGTTGAGGTAGAGAAGCATGTGCGTCACGGTGGCCGGCCGAACCTCGGCGGTGGAGATCGTGAGACCGGCAAACGCGGCGGCGAGCTCGTTGGCCAGCTCCAGGGCGCCCGCGTTGGCCGGCGAGGCCCAGAGGAGGGTCTGTTTGGCAAAGGCGAGCGACTGCCTCTCGGGCTCGCCCGGCACGAAGAGCGGGAGGGAGGTCTGGTTCAGATAGTTGGGCGAGCAGAGGAGCACCGCCTGCGGTTCAAGGGCGCCGGGGCTGAGGTCTCTGTGGGGGCGAGAGGACTGCGGCTGGCTGTGACCCGCTACGCCTCGACGATGGTCTTGAGGGAGACGCGTTGAAACTCGTTGATGCGCATCCAGACGGTGTGCGTCCAGCCCCTTTCAAAGATGTCCTGCTGCAGCTCCTCGGGGCATTCGCCGCGCAGCGCCTGCAGCGTCCCGCCGCCCTTGTCAGGGTCTGCCTCTTGGACGAGGACGATCGGCTTGCTCTGCTCGAGCGACGAGCGGATCTCGCGGAGACAGTTCTGGTGGCACGCAAGCAGGCCGGCGGTGAGACGAGGGGAGTGTCGAGGGGCGCAGCTCAGACTCGGGTGCGTCGAGAGCCAGAGGATCCCGACGGAGGGACAGGGCGGCGGCGAGAGCGCGCCTGAGAGCGGAAGTAACCACGCGAGAGGAAGAAGAGGATCATTTGCGTGCGCTGGATGTAGTCCTCCAGCGACCCAATATCCTTTAGATCATCCACCTGTAAATGCACGGTGAGCAAGGTCAGAGGGCTGTGTCGCCATACACAGCGCGGCTGAGCGTGTGTGCGCGCGTCTAGAAAGATCTTGAGGCCCGGCAGCAGCAGCTGCAGCTCGCCCTTGATGACCCCGACGGTGTCTTGACCGGTCGACCTACATGGTTAGGGGTGGAGCTGGATCGTGCTGTCCCCGGATTCCACCCTCCCAAGCTGCGTGACTCACCAGATGTGCGAGAGGAACAGGTGCCACGCGAGGCCGGTCACGATGCTCAGCTCGGGGGGCTGCTTGGTCGAGACGAGACGGATCGTGGGAACCTTGGCGACGCGGCGGGCGGCGACGACGGCGCCGATTGAGAAGAAGACGAGCACGACCGCGACGAGGCCGATCATCGTGTCCACGATCGCATTGAGGCTCCGGAAGCCGAGGACTGCATCGGCGTCATCGATCCCTGAGCGCTCCTCGATGCCGAGGAAGATGGTGCTCCAGGTGGAGCCGAGGAAGAGGACAAGGAGCACGAGGCTCGTGGCGACGGCCAGCACGTTGTCCTCGACCCGCTTGTAGGGCCGCACGACGGCGAGCACGACAGCGTAGAAGGAGCAGACGAGGATCGCCACCACGAGGCGAAGGAAGGCGTTCTTCTCTGGGATCAGCAGCACGAAGCCCGTGAGCACGAGCTTGCGTGCCAGCTCGACCGCCTCCCACCAGCACCAGGTCTTCTTGTACTCGCGGTGAAGGAAAGCGGTGGCCCGCGTCAGAGCATTCGGCGACTTGGCCTTCAGCGAGTTGTAGCAAGCGGCGAGGAGCGACGTGAAGAGGACCAGCGAGCCGATCGGCCAGAGGACGATGAAGCCGACGGCGAGATTCTTGATGAGCCCGTGATCCTCGGTGCCGCATTCGACGCTCGCGTCCTGCCGCATGTAGTTGACTTGCTCCAGGCGCTCGTTCGGCGGAGAGATGGTGTAGGCCTATCAGCAGCACAATGCGAGGACTGAGGGGCAGGGTTGTGAGTAGCGGCAGTCATCAGCTGGACGCGCCTGGCAACTCCACGCGCGGAAGATGGAGGCGCTGATGGAGGGCACGAAGCAGAAGATTAGGAAGAGGCCGGCCGGCGTAAGGTCGAGAAGGCCGAGGGCCGCCTCCGCGTACAACGATCCCTCGCGCGGCGCCGGCGCGGCACGCCAGCGGAGGAGCCGCAGACTTATTCCCGATCCCATCAGCAGGGCGATGAGGGCGACGGGGGAGAGAGCGACGGCGAGGAGTCGCAGGCCGTAGCCGAGGCACTGCTCTGGAAGAATGAAGCCAGACCAGTTTATGGAGATCACGTTGGCCAGCTTGTCGGTCCAGCCCGTGTACTTGTCCGGCAGCCGCGCCGAGTAGGTGGAGGACAACACAGTGCAGATC